CTATATGATGATGGCTTGGACTTGTCTTTTCCGGCGTTATGGATCATTGTGACCATGACTGATTTCCTCCATTCTTGAGGATAATAGCCCCATTTCATCATGCTGTTGAATATCACAGTAAGGAAAAACACTGCACAGCTCGGCAATTCTATGATCATTTTAGGGGAGATGAAATCGTGGCCTGGAGCTTTCTTTTGCTTTGAGGTTTGGTCTTTAATGACCCTTGTGACTTCTCCTGAATGGAATATGATAGGCGGAGTAGCTTCGGGATTGTTGGTTGGTGGGAGCACAAAGCTATTTGTCCCAAGATAAGTACGACTTTCGTTTGCCACAAATCCCTTCCATTCGTGATTTGTGTTTCCAATTTCCGCAAAGTCCGAGTTTCGCTATATAGGTACATATATATATATTCTTATATATGTACTTATTTCTTCTTTCTGTGCCATCCGTTTTCCGTGTCGCTTCGTTCTTTTCGACATCGCCATATTATCGGCGATTCCGGCCGTTCTTCGTTTTTTCAACTCCAACTACCAGTGCTACGGTAGTTTTTGAATTCCGTTTTGTCTGTGCATTAATTGTGACAATAATTAAAAAGAAAAAACATTCAGCAAGTGCATTCCAGCTCACAACAACAACTCAGCAGCTGATCTCCAAATATTCAAATTCCAACCATACCTACGTACCTTCCAAAGTGCATTTGATAAAACACCCACCTTAATAAATATACACCTTGGCACACTCCGAGTGCAAAGAGACTCCAAATAAAGTGATTTAATTCCATCCATATAGATATAAATTTATTTCCATAGTTGGCGGCAATATATTTATATTGCCAACTATATACATACATATAAGCATAACGCACATACAAAAATACTACATCCCGTATAAAAATACCGCACTCCATACTTATGCCCTCAGCACACAGAGCCCATCCTGGGGGAACGGTGGGAATTTTTGAAAGATGTGAAACACCGATTCACATTGACACCATCCACCATCCACTATCCATGAGAAACAGCTGATGCTCACAATAGCGTGCGGTGAAAATTTGCTTACGTTAATAATTAAAATGAATATAAATATTGCTTTTGGTGACTTGATTTTTTGTGTCGGCGTAGTTTGGTAGGCGGAAGATGTTCGTAAACGGCTTGAAGAGGTCACAGGCAAAAGCTTGTTGATGTCCTTGTGACCTGTTGTCAAAAAACAACAATGATTTGTTACCAAAATTGTTTTTAATGGTGGCGAAAAAAATTAAAAAATTGAGATTATAAGAAGTGGATGCCTTTATATAATTATTTATTTAATTAAGGTTGCTTGAAAGCTGATCTTATAGGCTGCTTCTTTGCGTCTTGTCGGAGACGCAGTTTTTCTTGCATAGGTTATAGGGCCCTAGTGGTGGCAAAAAGTTGCGTCGGTCTCTGATTCATGTGCGTCTATTCGATATATTCGATTGCTTTTATGTTATGTTTTTCAGAAGCGGTTCGGTACATTTTGGGAGAAGGATGTACCCGAAAACAACGAGGCGTTTTTTAAGCAAAGTTTTAGGATGGAGTGGTCCTGCTTTTCTCTGTTGGTTACTCGTTTGGAAGTGCTACGGAAGATGGACACAAACTGCCGAGCCGCAATTCCTCTGGAGAAGCGTATCGCCATATCTTTATATACTTTGGGCTCTTCTTCTGAGTACCGAACAGTCGGTAGGCTTTTCGGCGTGTCAGCCAACAGCGTCTGCAATATCCTGCATGAGTTTTGCAGAGCATTCATCAACGAATTCTCATAGAAATACATGTCCAAAAACTATCTCACTTCTGAGAAAATTTACGAGTGTGTCGAAGGATTTGAAGAAATTGGGTTTCCTCAGAGCCTAGGTGCAATTGGTAATAATGCCATAAAATCATCCATAATATATGAATATACATATATGTAAATTAATTTCATATATAATATATAATAATATAATAATATATAATATAATATAATATATATATATATATAATATAATATATATATATTATATATTATATCATCTATATATATAAAAGAAAGTCGTGTTTGTTACAACACTTATAACTCGAGAACGGCTGGACCGATTGCCATGGTTTTTGATTTGTTGGATTTGTTTCCGTCCCGAATAGCAGAATACATCTTAAAAACAATGAAAACTCGATATGTGTAATGAATACTTAATAATTTCAATAGATGATGATTTGTTTATTACATGTCAGACATTTGTTGTCCAATCCTGTCAAATAGTGTAACAACTATTTTTTTTTTTTGGAGCTTATGGCCGGTTGCTGAGACCTTTAAGCCACAACTTTATTTTTTCCTGAAGACATCATGTGTGCGTTCAGAAATTTATTTTTTATAAAATGTCTACAAAGTTCAGGTACTGTTATATTTGGTTGTTTTAGACATTAATTTTCGAAAATGTATGTTTTGGTGATGCAATGATTTTATTATCTGGCGATTTCCGACAAACACTACCAGTCATTCCAAGATCTACTGCTGCCGACGAAATAAACGCTTGCCTCAAAGCATCAAATCTGTGGCGATATGTAAAGAAACTTCAACTGTCTGCAAATATGAGAGTTGCATTGTTGAACGATCTATCTGCTGATGATTTCTCGAAGCAATTGCTGACTATCGGTAATGGCCGTGTTCCTGTTGACAAATCGAGCGGTTTGATTTCATTTCCTCCAAATTTTTGCAATTTCGTATCATCAAAAGACGAGCTTATCAACAAAGTATTCCCGGATATCATTGCTATCCACAAAAATACTAAATGGTTAAGTGAGTCAGCAATTTTGGCCGCTAAAAATAAAGATGTAGATGACCTCAATTTTATAATTCAAAATCAAATCGAGGAAGTTCTTATTCCAAGGATTCCGATGATCCCAACGGATATGCCCTTTGAGTTTAAACGAATTCAATTCCCGATTCATCTTGCCTTCGCCATGACGATAAACAAATCACAGGGTCAATCCTTGACTATTTGTGGCCTCAATCTAGAAAATGCATGTTTTTCTCATTTTTTCTCAAACCATCCGCTTTATTTGTTCTTGCGCCTGACCAAAAAACAAAGAACGTCGTTTACCACAAAGTGCTTGAATGAAAATCCTATTAATAAATTAATCCGAGTTTAATTTTTTTTTCCAATCTGCACAACATAATTTTCAATCATTTTTTTCTGACATGAGTTTGAAGTACTTAATTATTATTTTTTATTTTTTTTTATTTTTATTCTCATTCTGTATGTATGTTTTCATCATCATTCATCATAATAAAATACTTTTTTGTTTCTATCTATATAAATATATTATTTTGTACCATTGTTTTACGTTCATCCAATTGTTTGGCCAAGCCTAAATTAGTTCAGCTAAAAAGTAACACGACATTCATTGACTGTTAGGCGGTACGAAGTTTGCCGGGTCAGCTAGTATTATATATTTTATATACATATATTTTAATTTGTATGTTAGATGGATGTCACATCGAAATAAAACCACCTGCAACTGAGGCAGTCGACCACCACAATTATAAAGGCTTGTATTCAACAGTATTATTTGCAATGGTAGACTACTGGTAAGATATTCGCACCTAAACAAATATTTTCAGGTTATCTACTTAATTATTAAAATATTTAATTTCAATTTACTTCAGATATAGATTTATATAATCATTAATATATAATCATTCAGCAGAATAGATACGATCTGCAATTGCAACATATTGTGTAAATAGAATAAATTTATATAATTAGTTTTATTCATTTATTATAATTACTTAAATTTAAACAGACAAGAAATTTATTATAAAAACGTACTACTGCTGTTTGTTTTCTCTTAAAAATTGCATGAAGTCAGTCTCCTCCTCGAGGAAATCCTCCTGCCTCTTGTGGTGATCCTTTTGCTTTTTTATGGTGATCTGATCCTTCTGAGCAGCTAGGCGCTCTCTGGACACCTATACGAGCGGGGCCACTACGCTATCCAGCTTGGTCCGTTTCTGTGGGGGCCCATTGCTTACAGAGAGTGCGCTGGAGCTGCAGGACCCGTCTAGGTCCACCTCGATCACGTCGGAAATGAACGAAGTTCGAAGTTCGCCTCCAGCAGTGTCTTAATGGCATCAGGGGGTCACAAAAATGTCGTATGATAATTATACAATCAGTTTCAAGTATTTTATTTCATGATTTTATGTATATTTTCAGCTTTTTGCACAACCATACATTTTTAGCGCCAAAATTTGATTTTTGAACTACAAGTTTTTGTTGTTCTTAGTGGTGATAGTTGCGCTGATAGGCAGAAAACTGCAAAAATGTGCAGTTAAGCGCAAAAGCAATCGAATATATCGAATAGACGCACATGAATCAGAGACCGACGCAACTTTTTGCCACCACTAGGGCCCTATAACCTATGCAAGAAAAACTGCGTCTCCGACAAGACGCAAAGAAGCAGCCTATAAGATCAGCTTTCAAGCAACCTTAATTAAATAAATAATTATATAAAGGCATCCACTTCTTATAATCTCAATTTTTTAATTTTTTTCGCCACCATTAAAAACAATTTTGGTAACAAATCATTGTTGTTTTTTGACAACAGGTCACAAGGACATCAACAAGCTTTTGCCTGTGACCTCTTCAAGCCGTTTACGAACATCTTCCGCCTACCAAACTACGCCGACACAAAAAATCAAGTCACCCCTCACTCCGAGAGCAGCAAGTAGTAGCCCTGCTGCCAGGACCAAATCGGTTCTGTTTCCTTCTCACGTGACCCTCAAGCTCTGACACACAAAGGCTCGTTCGTCAGTAGCCCCGTCAGCTCCCGCCACTGCCTTAATCCGCCACCTCTGTCGCTCTGACTAAATTGGTCGCCATTGGCCGACTTTCCCACCTGGCAGAGCGCATCTCCGCCGCACCTTCCGTCTCTCTCGCCGAAGTCCGCCGAGGAGAAATCCTCACTATGTGGACGGACGTCGAGGCCGAGTACAAGGCCTGCTCCGCGGTGATGGCTGACGAGGATCCAGCAATCCAGGCTGACATCCAGGCGGAATGCGGAGAATGCTATGGGGCATTTGAGCAGTGCCTCAGTGACCTCAATGCTCAGCTGGCCACAACCACAGACCATCCTCCTGCACAGCCAGTCCATCCGTCTCTCTCGCCGATGTCCGCCGAGGACAAATCCTCACTATGTGGACGGACGTCGAGGCCGAGTATAAGGATTGCTCCGCGGTGATGGCTGACGAGGATCCAGCTGTCGACTGCCTCCCGTCGATATTGAGGCATTCTCAGGGGACTACATGCGCTGGTTGTGATCAGCAATACTAGATTGTCTCCGGTTGAAAAGCTGTACTACCTCACCGAGAAGACCCGGGGGATCCGAAGGCCATCGTAACGAAATCCCCCCCTCACCAATGACGGTTTTAGCCCTCCGTAGCCCATATGAGAACAATCGGTTTTTGGTTACCAACCAGATTAACATCCTCCTCTTCTTGCCCCGCGTAACTTCCGAGTGCAGGCGTGGTTTGAAGGAGCTGCAAAGTACGATGCAGGGGTCCTTAATGCACTAGCTGTCTCCAACGTCTGTACCGACAATTGGGATAGTCTCTTAGTGACCATCTGTGCTTCCAAATTGCCAAAGTTGAGCCGGGCGTTATGGAAATCGTCCGTAACGGACGAAAAGGAGATGCCGCCCTGGAAGGAAATCGACTCCTTCCTCACTCAGCGATACCTAACGCTAGAGGCTATCGAGAGCGACCCTTTCACTTCCCAAGGCGCTCCGAATCCTGCACCCGCCAAAGGCAGTCAGAATCCGCCATCCTACCAAAGCCAGTCCAATCCGTTTTGTTCCCAAGGTAGTCCTGTTCCAAGGACAGTGCAATCTTTCCAAAACAACGTGAATCCGAGCAAGAGCTCGTGTGATCTTTGTTCCAAGGAGAATCAATTTCCTACAAATGATCGTTGATGCTCGCTCCAGCTGCATAAAGCAAAAGCAGCTCTGCTTAAATTGCTTCGCCAAAGGCCATTTGCTTCGAGAATGTCAAAGCTCCCACATTTGCAACAATTGTGGAGGACGACACCACACGCTTCTGCATCGTGGCAATCCAGCGAGTCACATTCCATATTAGTACTTAATTCCACATCTTGGCCAGACGTCAATCGACCAGTACCTTCCGCAGAAAATTCAAGTTCTTCCGAACCTTATCCTAACGTTCAGACGTATTTCGCCTCCGGCACAAGCTCTGTCCTTCTAGGCACGGAAATTATTAATATTTGTCACCTTGGGAACACCTTGGGGACTCGGGCTCCGAGGCAACGTTCATTACGGAACGCCTTTTCAACACGATTCAATTGCCATTCCAACGTATTCAGACACAGATCTCCAGCCTCAATCAGACAGTATCCGCTCATTCCGATAAGCTCTGTCAGTTTTCCATTCGCTCCCCAACGAGGCTGGGTTTTCGATTAAACGCCACGGCCTATGTTATCCCGGAATTGGCAAAGAATCTTCCGTTGCATCTTATCTCGCCAAGTTTATTGAAAGATTTGCCGAGTCTTCCATTGGCGGATCCTATATTCTTCGAGAGCTCACCAATCAATGTCCTGAGTGGAGCCGATATCCTACCATCGGTAATGTCAAGCGGCTTACAGCCCAACATATGTGGCTCTCTTCACAGCCAAGAAACCATTTTTGGTTGGGTGCTCACTGGTCCCGTGTCCAATACGGCGGGCTTTGCACGCGATTATAATTGTACATATTGAATAAAACCTGAAGAACTTGGACCTGCACTGTTTTATCTCGGGAACTGACCTGTGGAACTGCTGAGACGCCTTACGCTTAATCACCTAGGATCTCTAAAAAAATTTTAACTCTACAAATTTATTAGAGCTTACCTCTTTTATCATTAAAGGCTTACTGATTTCATTAAAGCATTCGACTCTGTAAACCACTCCTTTCTAGCACATAAACTTGACCTTTTAGGGTTTCCGCTGTAATGTCCTATTTCAGGCTGAGGTATGCATCAGCCTGTCCAGGGTCCTGAATTACAAGTTATTTCTAATTCACGAGGACTTTATCGGGAAAACCAGGAACTTTGCCAGAAACTGAAATAAAAATCACAACACTTTTTGGTTCTTTTAATTTTAATGTGTTTCTTTATTCTTCCGTATTCTTCCGTATGATTATTCTACCCGGTTATGTTATGTTTTAATTGTGCTACGACGCGTATGGTAGTTTGATTCGACTGCCGCCCTACGATGGCTGGTGGACTGCCTCCCACGATGGCTGGTGGACTGCCTTTTTATAGATCGGCCGGCCTTCCATGAATGTCTTATAGATATCTTATTTCTACTCCAGACCGTGGGAAGGGTTCTTACATAAATATCTATGGCCGAGTTATAGTCTGCGCGTGCAGACGGGCTGATCGGTAACAGAAGGTTACCTAATCATTTGCCCTGCAGTCAGTGTCCAATATTCCCAATAAGGAAAGTCGGAGACTGCTGACTGGCTTGCGCATGTGGGGGGTTTTGCTCGGTAATCGAGAGTTACCTAAGCAATCGCCTCCCAATAGGTGTCCAATGCCCCCGGTAGGGTGATCGATATGCACCGGTACCGTGGGAAAGGAATGTAACTTTAGGGAAATTTGAGATTTTTACTTAGCGTTTATTTATACGGTTATAAGTCCGCCGAGGACAAATCCTCACTATGTGGACGGACGTCGAGGCCGAGTACAAGGCCTGCTCCGCGGTGATGGCTGACGAGGATCCAGCTGTCGACTGCCTCCCGTCGATATTGAGGCATTCTCAGGGGACTACATGCGCTGGTTGTGATCAGCAATACTAGATTGTCTCCGGTTGAAAAGCTGTACTACCTCACCGAGAAGACCCGGGGCGATCCGAAGGCCATCGTAGCGAAATCCCCCCTCACCAATGACGGTTTTAGCCCTCCGTAGCCCATATGAGAACAATCGGTTTTTGGTTACCAACCAGATTAACATCCTCCTCTTCTTGCCCCGCGTAACTTCCGAGTGCAGGCGTGGTTTGAAGGAGCTGCAAAGTACGATGCAGGGGTCCTTAATGCACTAGCTGTCTCCAACGTCTGTACCGACAATTGGGATAGTCTCTTAGTGACCATCTGTGCTTCCAAATTGCCAAAGTTGAGCCGGGCGTTATGGAAATCGTCCGTAACGGACGAAAAGGAGATGCCGCCCTGGAAGGAAATCGACTCCTTCCTCACTCAGCGATACCTAACGCTAGAGGCTATCGAGAGCGACCCTTTCACTTCCCAAGGCGCTCCGAATCCGGCACCCGCCAAAGGCAGTCAGAATCCGCCATCCTCCCAAAGCCAGTCCAATCCGTTTTGTTCCCAAGGTATTCCTGTTCCAAGGACAGTGCAATCTTTCCAAAATAACGTGAATCCGAGCAAGAGCTCGTGTGATCTTTGTTCCAAGGAGAATCAATTTCCTACAAATGATTGTTGATGCTCGCTCCAGCTGCATAAAGCAAAAGCAGCTCTGCTTAAATTGCTTCGCCAAAGGCCATTTGCTTCGAGAATGTCAAAGCTCCCACATTTGCAACAATTGTGGAGGACGACACCACACGCTTCTGCATCGTGGCAATCCAGCGAGTCACATTCCATATTAGTACTCAATTCCACATCTTGGCCAGACGTCAATCGACCAGTACCTTCCGCAGAAAATTCAAGTTCTTCCGAACCTTATCCTAACGTTCAGACGTATTTCGCCTCCGGCACAAGCTCTGTCCTTCTAGGCACGGAAATTATTAATATTTGTCACCTTGGGAACACCTTGGGGACTCGGGCTCCGAGGCAACGTTCATTACGGAACGCCTTTTCAACACGATTCAATTGCCATTCCAACGTATTCAGACACAGATCTCCAGCCTCAATCAGACAGTATCCGCTCATTCCGATAAGCTCTGTCAGTTTTCCATTCGCTCCCCAACGAGGCTGGGTTTTCGATTAAACGCCACGGCCTATGTTATCCCGGAATTGGCAAAGAATCTTCCGTTGCATCTTATCTCGCCAAGTTTATTGAAAGATTTGCCGAGTCTTCCATTGGCGGATCCTATATTCTTCGAGAGCTCACCAATCAATGTCCTGAGTGGAGCCGATATCCTACCATCGGTAATGTCAAGCGGCTTACAGCCCAACATATGTGGCTCTCTTCACAGCCAAGAAACCATTTTTGGTTGGGTGCTCACTGGTCCCGTGTCCAATACGGCGGGCTTTGCACGCGATTATAATTGTACATATTGAATAAAACCTGAAGAACTTGGACCTGCACTGTTTTATCTCGGGAACTGACCTGTGGAACTGCTGAGACGCCTTACGCTTAATCACCTAGGATCTCTAAAAAAATTTTAACTCTACAAATTTATTAGAGCTTACCTCTTTTATCATTAAAGGCTTACTGATTTCATTAAAGCATTCGACTCTGTAAACCACTCCTTTCTAGCACATAAACTTGACCTTTTAGGGTTTCCGCTGTAATGTCCTATTTCAGGCTGAGGTATGCATCAGCCTGTCCAGGGTCCTGAATTACAAGTTATTTCTAATTCACGAGGACTTTATCGGGAAAACCAGGAACTTTGCCAGAAACTGAAATAGAAATTACAACACTTTTTGGTTCTTTTAATTTTAATGTGTTTCTTTATTCTTCCGTATTCTTCCGTATGATTATTCTACCCGGTTATGTTATGTTTTAATTGTGCTACGACGCGTATGGTAGTTTGATTCGACTGCCGCCCTACGATGGCTGGTGGACTGCCTCCCACGATGGCTAGTGGACTGCCTTTTTATAGATCGGCCGGCCTTCCATGAATGTCTTATAGATATCTTATTTCTACTCCAGACCGTGGGAAGGGTTCTTACATAAATATCTATGGCCGAGTTATAGTCTGCGCGTGCAGACGGGCTGATCGGTAACAGAAGGTTACCTAATCATTTGCCCTGCAGTCAGTGTCCAATATTCCCAATAAGGAAAGTCGGAGACTGCTGACTGGCTTGCGCATGTGGGGGGTTTTGCTCGGTAATCGAGAGTTACCTAAGCAATCGCCTCCCAATAGGTGTCCAATGTCCCCGGTAGGTTGATCGATATGCACCGGTACCGTGGGAAAGGAATGTAACTTTAGGGAAATTTGAGATTTTTACTTAGCGTTTATTTATACGGTTATACATGTAGAGATATTTAAAGAGGTTTTACTTAGTGTTC